GAATATATGGCATTATTTGTTCTAGAACAAGATCAATTCGGTGGTGGACAATTAGAAATTATTCAATTATCCGATATTTTACAATCTTTATCAATACAAACAAGAGAAAAATTATCAAATGAAAAGTTTCGAATAAATATTCCATTAGAATTTCGGAAATCGAATGAGCTTGATCATATCAATGCACCAATATTATTAGATCATGATAAAATTCGTTATCGATCAGATATCTTATCTGAACAAAATCATGAAGAATTAAATGAACTCAACTTAACTATTCAACAAGTCAAAAAATATCAACCAGAACTAAATAAATATACAATGATTATTTTAAATAATCAAAAATATCTTCATGGTAGAACAAAAATTCTTGATCATCGCCGACATTTACTTCGAGTCAGATTTAATCGAACTTGTCCTTATGATGTTCATTCGATTTATGAAAAAGAGAAACTATTTCCAGAATATTTAACTTTTTCAAATGATTTTTATGATTATCTACAAAATCAACATGAAAGTTTACAAGAGATTTTATCTTTAATTGTTCAACAATATGATCAACCGACAAGTTTAGGTGAAGAGATTCGACAAACGTTTCGATTTAATTCAAAAATTGATCAGATCATCAAACAACTGAATGTTTATCGACCAAACTATCAAATGAACTCATATCGACCTGATCTTATGTTTAGTCAAGGAAATTTGTTTAAGATCAATGGAAAATATTCATTTCAGCCAAAAATCTGTGAAATCAATGCAAGATTTCCATTTAATGGATATTTTTTATCTGCTGCTTTATGTTCAACTGATTGTCACAATCGATATTCACGAAAATCTTCGCGAATAATTGAAACAATGATACAAGCATCAAAATTTGATTTGACGAAGCGTATGTTTATTGTTAAATCAAAAGAACATGGTTATGATATTCATTTATTTCAACAATATTGGACAAAAAAATCTTCTGAACAATGTCTAATAATTCATCCAAATGATTTAAAGATTGAAAATAATCAATTAATCAATCAACAAACTAATTTTATTATTGAACAATTTATTCTCGAACTACATCAAGATGAAATTTTAAATTTATCTAATGAAGTTCTTGAATATTTTATTCGAAATAATGAAATTAATTATATAAATGATTTGCGAACAATATTTATTTTACATGATAAACGTTTATTTTCACTTTTATCAAATCAACCATTTCTCTATTCTTTATTAAACAATAATCAACAAGAAACAATTTCACAAATAATACCAAAAACGTTTGTTATTAACAAATTATCAAATTATCTTAAAGATTCAATTGTTCATAATAAACAAGATTGGTGTATTAAGCCAAATTCTGGTGGAAAAGGTGAAAATATAACTATAGGTAAGTAAACTAGTGATGAGTTCGTGATGAAATAATGAAATTTTTATATTAGGTGTTGATGTAACATCAGATGAATGGTCAAAACAATTATTAGATTCAACTCATGAACAATGGATAGTTCAAGAATACTTCGGATATGTGCAATATAAGTCAATGAATTTATGTGGAATGTTATTATGTTTTAATAAACATTGTTTCAATATGGGAGCAATTCGAATGGCTCCAAATAAAATTGTGAATATATCTCGTGGAGGTCATTATATTCTTCCTTTTGTACATCAACAATATATTCATTGTATGAACGATAAAAGTATTTTAACAAAAGAAAAATTGCATGAACAATTGCTTGAATTAAAAACAACTGATAAGTATTGGAATCAATCTGTTTATCTCTCATCATCAGGTGGTAGTGGGGGAAAACGTTTATTTTTTGCAACAGATATTCAAGAAAATCTTCGTCAAAGACAAATTCTTGTTAATATGATGTTAGATAAAGATATTATTTCTGATCGTGATATTTGTTTAAATTTATTTCAATATGGAAATATTTATCGTTCATTTGAAATCTTTAATGACTTTTGCTCGATGGCAAATTGTACAACATTACCAATGGGTGCAGATGCAAGTAATGAAGATATTTTAGAAATGGTTGAATATTTTAAGCCAAATGTTCTTATGGGTTCACCATATCGTTTAATGCAATTAGCACTTTATTTAGAAAAACAAGAAAAAAACGATATTAAATTTGAAAAAATTTATTTTGCTTGTGAATCACTTGATAAAATAAAACAAGATTATTTTAAACGTATATTTCATTGTTCAATCTATATTGGATTTTATGGCTCAGCTGAAACTGGTGTTTATGCATGTCAATCATCAAAATATTCTTCAACAAAAATTTATCTTTATCCAAAAGAATTAGTTCAAATAGAAATAGTCAATTCAAAAATCATTGTTACAAATCTTATTCGAAAACGAAATCAATTAGTTCGTTTTGATTCTGGTGATCTTGGACGAATTGTTTCAACAAATGAAAATAGTAAATATGGTTTGATTGAAGTATTTTGTAGTGAACGATTAATTTTGATTGGTGATGATGATCTTTCAAAGTCACATATTGAAGAAACAATGAAACAAACTGATGTAACTGAATGGCAATTAATTATTGATTACGTTTCATCAAGAAAAACAAATCAAATTCTTCTTTTATTTCGATATGTTAAATCTGATACAAATATGTCGAATGAAACTCTAGAGAATATTCTAAAAAGTTATTTACAAAAATTTTTCGCTAATCAATTAACAAATCTTTCCGAAGAATTAACTCTTCAATTTGAACCAATTGAATTTGATCAACTGGTTCGAAATAAAACATCAAATAAACTCCTTAAAATTATTGATAGACGTTTTTAGAAGATTTTTTTAAATAAAATATCAACTATTGCTTTGTTGTGCTTATTTTTATTCGATAGACAAATGGAAAAGAAAGTAAAACAGGACTAGCGAATGAAGATAGAAGTTCTAATGAAAGCAAGAATTTTGGTGGAATCTGTGTGCAAAAAAAAGAAGTCCATTTCTCTCATACTTCACCTATATTATCAATATATCATCTTGATAAGACTTGAAGAATATCTTGCTTAGAAAATATTTCCCTAGAAATAAATGGGTTTGATTAATTGATAATCAGAACTAAATAATTGGTAGTAAAGGTAATGATGATTTAAAATGAAGAATAAACTTTTTTCTCGTAATTTTATTATCAACTTGATAAAAATATTTATTTCAAAAACGTTTGTTTAAAGAAGAAGAGATTAGATGAAATGAAAAAAGCTTAGTCAATCTTATTAAATATTGAAGATCGAAAAAATATTTATTAGTTCACCATTATTGTTCAGTTAAAAATGTAACTTATTAAACAAATGATTCAAATAAATGGGAAATTTGTTTAAAATTGTTAATACTTATTTTTTCTTATCCAAAAACTAGTTTTGAATCGATTCTTGAGAAAAGAAATTACAAATGTGACTTCCTTTTGGAAATCGTCCATGGAAGAAATATCTGACGTGACAATTCCTAGATATACTTTTTTCTCTCTCATTTCTCTTTGAATACTATTTAAAATCCGAATCAATCAAATTCCTCAGATCGAACAATCCAGCACGGAAACGGCCGGTTTCGTGCTATTCCGGAGACTTCATGGAAGCAGCATTCCCGTTGAACGGATCCGGTGACCAGATTTATCTGGTTTGGGCCAGAACCGACAGAAACATGTCAGAATCGACAGCCGGATACGGTTACCTCACTTCTCCATCGGATTCCTGGCATTTTCTGGACGGATTCCACCCAGGAATGGCGAATTTCCTCAAGGATTTTACCGGAAATTCATGGAATCCTGCTTCAGGAACCATCGTCCTGGGATTAACAAGACAATATAGAAGTCCAATTGAAGAACGTGATTGACACATAACATTTCAATTTTTGTTGTCTACGATCGATAGTTCAGTACTAAGTATAAATAATTCCACGTCTTGCATGATCATTTCAGACATCGACTTAAATTTTTTTGCATCTGCGATATTCTTAAACCTACGACAATTAAAATTTAATGTAGTTATTAAGGTTCTATCGTCGAAAAAACTTACGATATATGTATGATTGTTGTATCATGATTATCTAAAGAATGAATTGAAGACAACTCATATAATGTTGAGAGTTTTTCAACAACTAAATATAGAATAGATGCTTGATTAACATACAAAAAATAACAGACTTACAGCTCTGCACTTGTTGCTTCTGGTTGTTTTTTGCTGTTATTTCAATAATGTGATCAGATAAACTCTGAAAAAAAGAGAACCAAATAGTTAAGTACTTTCTTCTGCTTGAATGGAAGATAAACCTTATCTACAGCCATCGTGTGTATGAATACCAAATGACACTACGCTATCCCTTGCTCACTCTATGCTCTGATCCCATTTATACTACAAAACTAAAACTAAATTAACCAATCGAATTGATCAAAAGTGGGTGTGGGTGGTTGTAAATATGGATAAACAATGTACAGGCACGGCCAGACTCACACCTGTCCACACCCTCGCACCTACCATGAAACTACGTCCTTCAACTGTGCTCAGCCAACTGAGCACATTTGCACAGTTGCATCCACTTTCATAAGTAAATTTTACAAAATCGTTTGGAGTCTGTAAGTTACGCTCGATAAGGTGACTGGCCATGGAAGAGCGAGCTACCATTGTGATCGGTTTAACTATTTTTTGCATAAATTTTCAGATTTTCAAATGAAACGTTCGTGATCGAAGAGAGCGGCGTATGTATGTTGTTAACAAAAAGAATTACTTCGACTAAATTTTCGTTTTAATCTCTGTTGTTGACGTCGTCTGTTTCATTCATTGTGGTGCCCATGTCGTCGAAATCGGGGCAAAATCGACGATTTAATCGCGATTTAGCACCCGATTAATTGTGAGATTTATCGCGATAAAATCGACCAATTTGCCGATTTTTCACGATTTAATCGCGATATGTCGAGTTCTTTTTAACATCAGAAACGATCTATTTGAGCCCTCCCAATACCATCCCAACCCAGGTCGAACAATCTGATACTAAGATCAGTCACAGATTCTTGCATGACCCTATCAGATCTTACACTAGTAGCGTATAAGATCATACAAGATCCAGTGTTTTATCTAGCTTTTTTCGTCCGAGGGTGCGAAATTAACTGCCGAAGGGGGGGGGGGCAAAAATCTCTCTTCTGAGGGGGCAAATGTAGAGTTTCAGACTCAAAAAGCGTAATTTTTCTGAATTCCGGGGGGGGGGGGG